CTGTGTTAAATTCAAAAAGTAAAAACAATGTTATCATGACAAAAGTATCACACCAACAAAACAGCCAAATTCAATTTTAAAATCACAGAAATTTATTATAAAGTTAATAATATATATAAAATTAATCCTTACATTTTAGAAAAGTCTGAAAAAAACCTAGATAGTTCTAATAATGGGAAATATATCCTGAAATGTCAACCTGTAATGCTATGTGACAAACAAAGTGAAAATATAAGTCACTAAGGAAGTTATCTTTGCCAACCTCATTAGTACCAAATAAAATTTTGCCCAGATATTAAATTGAATTTGAATGATTTTAATTTCAATTCTGTTATTTGTGGAGATATAACCTTATAAACAATAATAGAAACTTACTTTAGACCTTTATTTTGGACATTTAACATTAATTAATAGGTTACACACTTCTTATCTTAATATCTCTTACAGATATTTTTTTAATTAAAATCAAACACTTATATTAAAATTGATAATAACAGTGTTGCCGCCACATTACTCCCCCTTCTAATGGAAGCGTGCTGTAAAGCAAATGGTTCAACCACTTCGAGTAGTTTTTCTTGAAGTGGCAATACCTCCCTGAAGAAGACTTGCAAAGTTGGGTCGAAATGATGGCTTTTAATAAAATAGCCATAGTAACCATCACATTTTTTTGATGAGTTAGGGGCTTTGGAAAATGTTCTGCTACTTTTCCTTTGTTGAGAAACTGTACAGAACGTCTACTGTTATGGTACAGTATCCACTTTTCATCACGAGTAACAATTATGGACAGAAAAGGGTCGTTTTTGTTATGGCAAAGAAGTGTAACACAAACTTCATATGCTAGTTTTTTTGGCAGTCGTTTAATGAGTGTGGAACCAAACTTTCAAGCTGTTTTAACTTTTCAATCACCTTAAGATGGTTATCAACGGTAGAATTGCTAAGGTCAAGTTTCCCTGCTTGTCAATTAAAGCTTCTTAACATAATTGACGATGATCACATTGACGTAGCAGCAGCCCAGGAAGTCTGCTGAAAGTGGTACACTTGAAAAGAAATGCCACACCCTGAACTACAGCTGCCACAAAACCCACCACACTTTCAGTACTGGATTTATTGTTAGAGGAAGAGCCCGCCAACTAGTCTTAAAATTTATACCAATCTCTCCCCGTCTATGCTATATCCACCTTGAAGGAAAATTCTCTAACACCTATTTTATCAACTGCCATGCACCTACTCAGGTATCACTAGAGGAAGATAAAGTTGGCTTCTAGGAAGATCTTGTGAGAGCTTTTGCCGCTTGCCTCGCTAACGATGTTAAGATAGTTCTGGGAAATTTAAATGCACAAGTAGGCTAGGAACATGCAACGGCTGACTACAGGAGCTTTCAGCCTACATGAGGTTACAAACAATAATGGTCAAAGACTGATTGACTTAGCAAATTCTGAAGACCTAGTTGTAGGAAGTACCATGTTCCCAGGAAAGAGAATACATAAAGTTACGTGGATATCACCAAAAGGAGCCGTTTCTAATCAGATCGATCATATTTTTACAAGTTCTCAACACAAATCTAATCTCATTGGAGTCAGAACTTACAGAGGAGCCAAAGCAGATACGGACCATTACCTTAGCATTGCCAGGGTATGTGCAAGGATCTCAGCTACGAGGAATAAGATTGGGCCGACGCCAAAAAAATTCAACGTCTCCAAGTTAAGGATGTGGATGTGTGTGAAACCTCTCAGGAGAATCTCAGAATACAGCTTGCGGAAGAACTGAGGAGCAGAAATGATACTCCTGATGAACAGTGGACGGGAATATCCCGAGTTCTGAAGACAGCAGCTGAAGAAACAGTAGGCCACTAAACACGCAGCACCAGATTCCTCTGGTTTAAGGATAAATGCTTAACCGCCACTCTCAAGAAAAATGAGGCATATAGGAAGATGGTGCAGCAGCATATAAGGGGATCACAGGAATGTTACCATGATAGAAGGAGAGAGGATAAGAGAGGTCATCAGAAGAAAATGAGAATGTGGGAGAACAATAGGATGGAAGACATCAAATCTCTCAGAACTTCACAAGAGAGTCGAGTCTTTTTTCAACGGGTGAATGAGGGACGGACGGACAGATTAACAGAATATCTGGGTGCGATGGGCTTTTCACTTCAAGAAGATACTCTGAAAAGAAGATGTGGAGGAAGTTGCTGAAAGATGCAGAGAAGATGAGATGCAGAATAACACGAAGCCACCGGATGAAGAAGAGGTTGAGGCGGCCTTTGCAAAATTGGAGAATAATAAGGCGCCAGGACAGGACGGCATTCAAGCAGAGCTACTGCAGAATGGTTACTTCAACAAGGATCCCCACCATCACATCCTTTCTATTTGGCAAGAAGAAAGAATGCCTGAGGAGTGGAGACAAAGAGTATTATCTGCCAGTTCCACAAAAAGGGAGATCAGCTGGAGTGCAGCAACTACCTGGATATTGTTTTCCTCTCATCTGCTTTAAGGTATTCTCAAATATCCTCTTCTAGAGATTAGTTCCCCAAGCGGATAGAGAGATCAGGAAGTATCAGGCAGGATTTAAAAGGGGAAGACCCACTATGAAACAAATATTTACATTGAGACTGATGTTACAAAAATGCAAATAATATTAAATCGTTACTCATTATCTCTTTGTCGATTTCAAATCCGCACATGACAGCGTTGCTCGACCGGAACTTTACCAGGCCTTAAAAGAAATGAACGTACCAATGAAATTAGTGAAACTGGTTAAGATGACGATAACGAGTTCAAAGTGTATGGTGCGTGTGGGCGTAGATCTTTCTGACCCCTTTCTCACAAATTGTGGTGTTAGGCAAAGAGACAATTTGGCTTGCCTCCTTCTTAATTTTGCAAAGGAGAAAGCGGTAAGGAATTCAGGAATCCAATTCCAATCAACACTGTTTAACAGCACAGTCCAGCTTCTGGGATATCCGAATGATTTTGATATTGCTGCCAGATCTGAACCGACCCTACGAGAATCATTCCTGGCTCTGGAAAATGCTTCAAGGTATCTTGGTCTAGTTGTTAATGAGGCCAAGACAAAATACAACCGGATTGGAGGAGCTGAACCAGGAGTTGGATATTTTGACACAGGAGAGTGCCGTTTCAGAAGGTAAGCAGCCTCATCTAATTGTATTCAGAAATAAGCTCCCAAAATGACACAAACCAGAAAATAAACAGAAGGATTGCAGCAGCTAACCGATGTTGCTTTGGCCTTATCAAACATTTTAGGAGCAGAATGCTCTCTAACCAGACTAAGATCAAGGCTCTATAAGACCCTGGTCTGCCCAATCGTCACTTATGGCTCAGAGGCTTGGGCATTCACGAAAGCGGATGAGGGCTTCTTGTCTTCGAGAGAAGCATTCTTAGATGGATTTCCGGCCCTGTTAAATAGGACGGCATATGGAGAAGAAGGAGGAATGCTGAACTAACGAGACTCTACAATAATGTTGACATAGTCAAATTCGTGAAACTCAGAGGACATCGATTGGCAGCACATGTGCAAAGGGTGGCTGCCCATGAGATTCCGAAAAGGATCCTTACCGAAAAGCTGTACGGAAAGCGGCGAGTTGGACGACCGAAAGTGCGATGGATGGACTTACTCTCTGTGGACGCGCGTGCTCTTTTTGGAGTCTGAAACTGGAGAGCTGCAGGGAACGACCAAACAAAATGGCGGAGACTTTTGGAGGAGGCCCAGTCTCAGCGACGGGATGTCGCGCCACTTATGATGAAGTTTTTTCATGACCTGGGATGTATTATAATAAAGATAATTTTCATACCTTTTTTATATATAAAAAAATTGAAAGCTATAATTTTTCGATTATTTATCATCTAAAGTGATAATCAAACTGTGTTTTTTACTAAAATCTCTATTGTAGGAATCGATTGGCATTCATAAGTGTTGAAATAAATATTTCTAGTTCTAATGCTGAAGTTTAAAAATAAAGAAACCTGATGATTGCTTCAATTATTTTCAATAAAACGTAAATATTAAGATCAGGAACATTTATTTTGTCACTTATAAATACAGATTCCTATAATAAAGATTTGAGTAAAAAACAGTTTCATTATCACTTTACATGAAAAATGTCTAAAAAATCATTATTTTTACCATTTTATTCGGACCAATATTTATATAAACTTCTTTGTAGTTCTTGAGGTCTGCTGTCACTCCTATAAATATTTCCCTCAACTTATGGGACACAGTATATGAAATTTTATTAAACTGAAGTGGCAAATTTTATGTTTCATAGAATCAGAAACCTGATGAATCAAATTTAATGTGATATATAGTATGTGTTGTTAAAATATAATTGACCTTGACTGACATCATACCTCAGAGGTGTTTTAAAAGTTAATGACATTAGTCACCAATAGGTCTAGTCATATAGTGCTTATAGACGCAAAAAAAAAAAGTAGTCAATTTTTCTGCAATACTATGGGTTTCTTGGAGTGCTAAATCTGAATTAAAAGTTTAAAACATACTTTAGAGCATTCTGAGATAAAAGCAAAAAACAAAGAAATGTTTGCACTTTTTTTTTTCAGTTTTGGCCATAACTATAAAACTATATGTTGCATTAAAAATTCTACGATATATAAAGTTAAAATAGATACAAATTTTATTTTTAGCTTTTGAATATAGGACTCAGAGTTGAGGAACAAGAGCATGTTGAATATTAGTGTATTTCACAAAAATTAACTTATGACGATTTTTTAATGGTGTTAATTAAGACAGAAAATAAATGATAAGTTGAGAAAATTAATGAAATTCTTGTAACAAAAATATGCAACACTAAAAATTTATTTCTGGAAACCAATGAAAAATACCTACTCAAAATAAAATAATCATTATTCATTGATAAAGGTAATATGTTTTAAACAATAGAATTAATGAATAAAGTTTTGGTATCTAAAAAAAAGAGGAAATAATAAAGAAATTAAAAGAAAAAAAAGCTTTTAAAACATGCTCACCTTTCAATATATTGAAAGCCAATGGCGGGCCTGCAGCCAGCAGTTCTAAGCACAAAATTATATGAAATAAATCCAATCTTAAAACTGTTCACCACTTAAAAAAAAAATTACTCTGTAATAATAATATCTAAAAGTATCATTCATGTTACAAGGAAATAAAGAAAGCTGACCAAACTACACATTACCACCTACACATACTGTGATTAAAACAAAGTGCTTTAACATGCAATGTGATTTGTGGTGAACAAATGTGCATCTCAGAGGTAGAACATTTTAAATAATACTATTGTGTGCTTTTGTCATTACATATATTTATGGAGGGTCTATTTCATTACTTAAGGATAATTTAAAACATTGGTAATACTTATTATGCACTAAACAATAATTTTCCATTATAAAATATTAGACTTTCCCACAAAGCATTACAATGAACCTTTAATAGAGAAATTCTTTACACATAGTAGTTCACCTCTAAGGTACAGAATTAGAATCAAACATGCAAAGCTAAAATACTTTAAAGCAGCAAGCTATAGAGAAGCATATTACAAAAAGACAAGCTAGCTAATCATAATAGTAATAAGTTGAGAATTGCAGATAAACAAATATTTAAAATAAGACACCAATTGATTACAAAACAACACTAATAGGGCTTTCAATTCTACAGATAAAGAATAATTGTAAAGGCCGAATTCCGAAAAATTCACCAAACGGTTATTACTAAAAATAATTAAAGCTAAATTAGATAATTATTATTTATTAATTTATAATTGGGGCCACGGTGGTCGAGTAAGTTAAGGTGCCTGCAAAAACTTTTTATCAAGTGTTTGTGACATTTGATAACACAAAAAAAAAAAAATTAATAATAAATTAAAATTAATAAGTCCAGGCTATCCTCTACTACTTAGACCACTACAGCACAGATTCAATTCCTGCATTGAGAAGGTAATGTCTCCACCCTGTGATTCATATGGAGGTGAGCGACCCCTATGTGTTACACTATAGCTCCTGGTCCTCCAGGTTGGGAGTTGGATATACGGCTGATAATCCCATATCCCATAAAAAAAAATAAATAAATAAAAAAAAAAAAAAAAAAAAATGGGTGGAAGATTGAAGCAAAAGATTGCCAACCATCCTTCAGGAAAGCTCCAGATAAAGAGGGCGTGAAATTTGATCGCCTCTAGTTATTAAAACCATGTGCTCCCTAAATATCTCGAAGAAGACCAAAAGATCACTACTGTCGCCTATAACAGCCCCAAGCTGCTGAAGAAGACTCATAACTTAAAAAGTAAACAGGCGTAGGAAAAAAAAATTAATTTATAAATTTAATGAAATTATTATTAGAATGATCATGATAAATCGTTATCTGAGGAAATAAATCAGAATTTATGCATTTAACTAGTTAAACTAAGTAAATTAAAAAAAAAAAAAGCTTATAGTTTTTTTCAGTTATCATCAAAAACATGAAAATAACAAAGGAGTAATATTTGAAAACAAAAAAGATAAAATTAGTATATTGGCAAAAAGAGAGTTCCTCAAAGAAAGATTGTAAATCATTGAGGACAACTGGCAAGCTGGAAATAGACTGGACATCCGAAAAGAAAGGATAACCAGAGCGATATAGGATCAGAGGTTTAATACATAAAGGAGAAAAAACAACAAAGACCAGCTTATGAAGCTCGGAGCAATCCATCAGGAAGCCTCTTGTTGAGTGCAATAGGCCTTCCTTTATCCCGTAGCAGGGAGGAAATAAACCTAGTGCTAATTTAGATCAGTAGGGGTGTTCAAATAATGTCAAACTAAGGTGAAGAAATATTTAATTAAGAAAAAGTATGAAATATAAAATAAAATATTACATCTGCTATGGTTGAGTAGTTGATTGGGGTCCCTAATCATGAACATTTGTTGTTAATGGGTTAATTATTAATTATAGGGATTACTTGAGGTTTGCTGATTGGTGAAGGCGGTTTTGTGAATTTTGCTGCATACTTCATCCTGTTGATATTTCTTGCCGCTTCATTCTCATGAATCTCTTCCGTCGCCTGTCAACATATTTCCTGGCTCTCCATAGCCACTTCTCCTGTAGGGGGTGTCTATCTACTCATTTTACCGTGTATATGAGAAATATAGAACCTGTAGATCAGGGCTTGCACTTTGGAATAGAACCTGCACATCAGGGCTTGCACTTTGGACTCACAGATAAGAGATTCACCAGAAACAACAGGAATTTTTTGGTTCCACCTTCCACCAATAGATGGCGCCTTCACAGTGACCAGTAGATGGCGCTACTGTTCTCCCATATTTCAAATATAAAAATTTAAAAGCTATACAAAAATGAATGTGGCCTTAACACCTCTACACAACAATGAACACCTCAAGAGTGGGTAAGAAACCACAGAGAAGGGCGAAAACCTCCATTCTGATGACTGAAAAGAAATAGCCTAAGATAAGCAGAGATCTAGAGAAGGCTGGTTAAGGCACAAAAACATCTGGAGGTCTGTAAAGCCAACAGAAAAAAAAATCATGAAGAGTAATTAATTCTTTAATGAATGGTAAGAAAAAAATCCTCCAATAAAATCAAGTTTAAAAATGTATTTGTATTTATTCATATTCCATATGTATTTATTTATATTTATAAGTATTTATTCAAAATCTTAAATTTGTATTTAAGGTTTTTGAAAGACGCTAGAAACTAATATGAATTATTTTTTTCATTACAAAAATTTACTTGGCTTACTTTGCTGGAAGGGATTAATATAATCAGCAATATTTTCTTCTTATTTTACACATAAATAAACAATTGATATATTATAACCTAGGAATCCATGTATATCAAAGGCAGAAAACATATAATATAAAATAATGTCAAGATTATATAAAATATTTTTTTCCTTAGCTGCTTAAGCCAATTGGCAAGAACCCATGGACATGGGTTTAATATTTTATGACCTAGAATAGCCAAAAAAAGTTTAATTGAAATCTGTGATCCCACATCTGTAACCTTCCTCTGTTAGATAAGCATTTTTTTAATGATAACAATTTTGATAATCATTTAGTTCCTTATCTTGACAATGTCAACATTTGTTTAAATTTGGGAGAAATGGTTCAATAGCAAAATCAAAGAAGCGTTCCTGCAAATATTAACTTGTAAAAAAGATAAATATTTCCATCAATTTTTGTGGTAGCGCAAAGGCATTTGTAAAGAATAAGGTAGAACTCAATATGTAAGCACTGGAAGCTCAACTGACCCAAATTCAATTTCAGCTGTTTGGTTTTATCAGCCTCATAATCATTCTAGTGACAGAATACCTTTCCTGGTATACATAGATCATATTTGATCTTTCACTGAGTTAAGAGAAAACCTGGTGGCTTGGTTTTACCTTGGACACAGCACCTCTTTCTATAATCGTTAGTCAAGAAACTGTATTTCCTTACCAAGTAATGTGCCTAAAACGCTTCATTTGGATAAATGATACAGGAAGGTGACTTGAAAGACACTATGATAAATATATGGTGAATATGAACTTTGTCGTACTGATACAAAATACTTTCAGAGCAATGAAAACAGTAAAGGACTTATTTTCAACAATGTTTCTGTTTCCCCACTATTTCGAACCAACAGAACCAATGGAAAGTTATGCAACAATAACTTTTTAACATCTCCCATCAATGATTAAAGATGTGGTGAGCTTGCAGGAGGTGTGCGGGGAAGATAAAAATGTGGAAAATGTCTGGGAGCCTCACAGATAATGTTCTGAAATTTAGGAGCACATTATAATCTCAAATATTAATGCATCTGCCTCATTTGGAGGTGGAGAGCATCACAGACACCAAACTCTATAAGACACAATAATTAAAATTGTATTGGCTGTATTCATCTGAAAGTATAAAAAAAAAAAAAAAAAAAAAATATGGGGCAGTGCAAATAAAACCTACATAATATTAAAAACTGCTTAATTTTACACTGATATATAGAGTTTGATCAAATTGGAGTTTTTGCGTAAATCGTAAAAAAGTAATTCACCGATAATATATAGAATGGCACTTCCAGTTAGCCGATTTTGACAAAAAGTTCCTGTAAAATCTAAAGTATATACATACCTGAAATGCAAAATTTCACTTTCAGACAACTTTTTGTTTTTGAGCTAGACTACTCACATACACACAGATCATTTTGCGGGACTAGGTTATTTGGACTCAGGAGACCTCAAAACATGTATTAGCATTGAAAACTCAGATTCGAAAATTTTCACGATCGCAGTACTGTCACTTACTATATATTTCATATATAGGTAAGTGAAAGTGAAAGATATTATATTTTTTGAAATAAGACCAAGTATTATTTATTGACAATATTACATATAATTATGTATATAGTTGATAAGTGATTAATTTAAAGCTGTTTTGAAACCATTTTCAGAAACTAATTCATCAAATGTACAAATGAATGAATTCTTTGAACTAATATCACTACAATCAAACCAATCTTAGAAAAATTACTCTAATAAAAATTTCAAAGAAGTTCTCCTGCCTGCAATTCTTTAGTCTCTAAACCATCATTGTTTAATGAAACTAGTTTCTGTGATTTAAAAAATTGAACGTTTGTGAAATTAATTCATTTTAATTCTTTACGAAGTCAGGAGAAACCCACAGGATTAACTAATATATTTACAAAATCAAGCAGTTTTAAAGATCGCCATGAACTGCAAACAAGGCTTTTACGACAATTCCATATTATCTCCTGAGTAATAACATAAACCACAGAAATCCATATTATCGCCCCATTGACAGATAATGATGCTCCTTTAATCACTAACACAAATAATCATTAAGTATTTATTTCATGATCCTTAACACTGGAGGAGAAACACTGATATTATAGAAAATAATTTTTTTTTTTTTGTTAGTAAAACAGCAATTCTTTATTTCAGGTTTAAATTCCTAGCAAGATATCAATTGTGATGGTGAAAAAAGGTAATAAAAAGTTTCCTCCTTAAAAACTATGCAATATAGCCAAAACATATTAATAATTAAAAAAAAAAACATTCATTGTAGGTGAGAATTCATCTCGATTGGTGATATCAATTCAGGCTCGACCACTATATTGGTGCTATTACACGACTGTGTAACAATTTTTATGTATATACTCACAATTACTCAATTAGTAAACTTGTTGATAAATAAGATTAGTCAAGTAGAGCTTGTATTTATGTTGCCCAATTAATAAATTAAAAATTACATCAATTACATTTTTCTAACAAGCCAACATATAAACGTACACACAAAGATAAACAGATTCTTCTATAATTTCAAAGGATAATTTTTAACATCTGTGGAATCTTAAGTTTTCAATTAACAACTCTAAGTTCTAATGTATTGTATAAATGTTATGACTACTTTGTACATGCATATAACTTTGACACACTTGTAGGAACATGACATAATTATTTACAAACACATAAAACCAAATACTTACGGTTTGGCCCAGGAATAACCCCAAGAGCTATATTTTTGTAATTTGCAGGTAATGCCATCTCCTGCAACAAAATTCAAAATAATAGTTTAAAAAACAAATTCATATTTCCCATAAAATTAATTGAATGATAAGAAGAAAAGGATACAGATTGTTTATTTCATGTTTGTTTTTACAGAACTAGCACAAGAGTCAGGTGGGGGGTGGGGGGAGGTCAACATCAAATCTATCATACTGTACATAGAAACCCGAAAATGTGATTGAAAATATATGGAGATGATCAATCACCGTAAGGCCCTCAAACTCAACTAAAATGGACAATTGGGGGTTTGATGAAGCCTTGAGCGAGCATAGTGAGCACACCTTTGTGCATAGTTGTTAAACCTAGATAATTTCATAAAAAATCATGGAATGCAATGCTGTTAATATAATCAATGCTCTGATCTTGACCTATCAGATGCAACACTTGTGAACAAGCACTATTTTCCTGCCTACAATCTTGAAAAATCCCCACATATATTATTACAGTAAGGCTCGAAATTGGTTTTGTACCAAATATAAGCTCCTGCCATGCTCAAATACCATGAATGGGGTACCATTGGATTCAGAATTTCACGGGGGGTTAGCGAATCGTATTCTCCAGTTTTGTTTTTCTTTCTAAAATAAATAAAATCGATACAAACATTTTGCTAGGTTTCAATACTGGAACGGTGGTAGGTCTGTAGATCGATACGGGACAAATTGGATCTTGAAGATTTTGATGTGTACAGCAAGACCCGGATAGTTCCTCCAGAACTATCGGATCCTGCGTTTTTAAGCCCAAAAACATTCTATTTTCGAGATAACGCAAGGCATAGTGTTCGCATCCACACAGCCTTAAATTAATTGTGGTACTGTCATTGAATACATGTCTCATTTCATCGACTTGAGGTCTCTATGATCGGGAGAGGAGGAGTTTATATTATTTATCGATGGCGTTTTGGATCGGGATGCCATATCATCGTTAATTTTTCACCGAATCTCAAGATTGAGCCACCAATTTCGAAGGTTTCCTTCTCCTTCAGGTGGGCAAAATAGTCCAATCACCCCGAAAATTCAGGCAAAGAAGTTATGAAAGAAAACAAACTTTATTTGCGAATAACTAAAAAATTACACACTTTTCCCTTTTATGCATCGGTTATGCCCATGATTATAAAAATGATTACTAAATCTCCTACAAAAGGAAAACAAAATCATTGAAATCGGACTATTTTTAACAATGATACAGCTTACTGAAATTTGTGAACTTGTTGGTTCCAAACAAAAATAAAGATTTAAATTAATTTTTGTTTTCTTTGTCGATTATATTTATCGATAAAGTAACATTTGATTTCTTTATCTTTTGATACCTTACATTATTTTATTTTCTTATTAATTTGGCATTTGATAACAATATGCTGTGCGAATTTTTCGCACGGGCCTACTAGTAATAATTAAACCAATTGCTTCAAGTTGAAAGAATCATGAGATTATATTTAGACATCATTGTATATAACGTTTGAAGGATACTTAAAAGGAAAATATAAATATTATAGGGATCGAAATTTAAGATTTTTTTGTTCACCTTATTTGCCTGATTTCGCCTATAATCACCTCATTCAAACCTATCACACTATTTGGATACCAATTACATTATTTAAAAATATAAACAGTAGATGGAACAAATTAATAAAGCCAGTTGATTGTCTTTGCCAGCATCATTATTTCTAGAAAAATGTAATGGTCTTATTTTCCGACAAGAACAAATTGCTTTTTAAGATTGAAGAAATTAATTTATTGATGTATACATTCATTAATTAAGTATATACATATTAAAGAATATTACATTTAGCTAAACACATATCCTTAGTAAAGTATATGTAATAATACAATATAATTAGCAAAAGTACGATTAAATTCAAATGTGAGTAATTGCTTCATAGGTTTTCATAATTAATATAGTATAATGGGTGGACATTAAAAAAATAAGTTTATAGTGAATATGAACTATGTAAATATAGGATAGTGTGTAAATATCATAAGATAAATCATCCCGACTATAGCAATAGGAATATCTTATAGTGTATGCTATTTCTTCATTTGTTTATAGTCACAATTTCAAACCAACAAAAGTAACATAAGTATAATAATACCTAACTCCCTTATAACCGAATAATCAAATACTCATTAAAAGGTAAAAGTATAAAAAAAAAATCAACTTGAACTAAAGCATATCCAAAAAAGTAAAATAAGACATAACAACCAAGTAACATTATAAACCAAATACAGTGATTAAAATTCAAGAAAATCCTAAAATATATAACAGGAATAATAAATAAGTAGTTTCTTACGTTATTTTAAATGTTCTAATTCAAAAAAGTCTAACTTCAAATATCGTATAATAACCTTACAGGTTCATATCATCAAACCAACTAGTGATTGTTTACATGCCTCAATGTAACCAACATCAAACAATTCTTCTAATTCAACTAAAACTCATTTGTTCAAGAATTATGTATCTTATATAAATATAATAATTAATATTAATAATTGGTCTTATTTTAATAATAATTAATACTTTTATATATTTCAAATTTCATCCTAATAATTTTTTTAAATCTTTTAGTGTTATTGAAATAATGTTTAATTTATAAGTTCTTTCTAGATATAGAACAAAACTTCTAACCCAAATATTATTAATAACTCTTTCTTTTATTATAGAATGGAAAATAAACATAAATGAATTGTGAATTAGATACAATCACGAAACATGAAATCTAATATTAACAACATATTGTTAAATTATAAAGAGTTAAGACGTAATATGTAAAAAAATATCATTAGGATTATCTCTCTAATAACGTATCCAAATGCTGAATCAAATAATACCCAGGAATCGTAATATTAGACCAGGTAAGATAAGGTTTATAAGTGGATTAATTCTCAGAAAGCTGGAAACAGTCAATTTATTTGCATGTGAAACGAGTTTATTGAAGTTTGCTCATAATTTCTTCTTCTGACGTTTGAGAGGTGCCCCATGAACCTTGCATTTTCTCGAATTTTTCAACTTTTTTACAGATAGCTTTTATAATATGAATATCGTATAAAATTGTACTCATTAATAAATTAAATCATACAAAATTATACTTCTAATGAGCACCTTATATTTGAATTACATCAGGTCGTTAGGAACATTTGAAAATACGAAAAATTTCCATTTCTTATTTTAAATCCTGTTTTGGATGTTTAATGTGCGTTTAGACATTTTTCGAAGAAAGAAAATTAATTTTTTTTCTGGGACATTTAGATCCCTAAGAGTAATAATAATGAACAATTTGGTGACATTTGTCTGTCATTAAATGTTGATCATTTTGTTGTTGTTCATTAAATTACATTGGTATCGAGTCTAATAAAATGAAAGAAAGACACAAGTTAATATTTGAATAATAGATAGATGTTAATCAGTGTCTTTACAAATAAACAATAGATAATATATAGGTATCTTAAAGATAGCAGTAAAATGAGGCTGCCATATCTAAAACACGGAATTATTATTCTAACATTTATTCGGAAAATTAATTTCACAAAATATAGGAAACACAATGTTCTAACTTAACTAACAACTACATTATTGCTAAACCAAACTATGAATTTCATTTCTCTTGATACCGACAGCAAATGGAAAATATTAATAACTTTTTATTTATTTTTTTATTTTTTTTAATTTATTTAGACATACAATATTCTGTCGCAGGGACAATAATTATATTGATAAATGAACACATTCACACCGTATATACAAAAAAATAAAAATAAAATTAACAAAGTAAAACAATAACCAAATAATAATAAATAAAAACTATATACAACAAAAAATAAAAATAAAATAACCTAAATATAAGTAAATCAAAAACACAAAAACACAATCATACCTATATACAATATATACAACCAGGCGGGGAACCCAAACCCCTGCGCTAGTCTCTCAACCTCCTCACCGGTGCTAAAGCCGGTGGAGTTTGAGCAAGAGCGCTTTAGCCACATACACTCATGTCTTGAGTGGAGAATCTGGCCATTGCCAGAACTCCAAAATAAATACTATAAAAGATCTCTGGGCCACTGCCGCTTCAACCTTCGAGGAGGGTTGTAGGGATGAGTGGAACTAGATAGGGATTGGGCTAGGGGATTTGGATGATTGATAAGGTTCTGATGGAATTTCGAAAATTTTTCAGGGATAAGGTGAAGGACAAATGGGATATTAAGGTCATAATGTAGGGTTTTGTTGGTTACATAGAACGGAGCATCGACTATTGTTCGGAGGACTTTGGATTGAAAGGATTGGATGCGTTTGATGTTAGAGAACTTTGATATCCCCCAAAGTTCAAGTCCGTAGGTCCAAATGGGTTTCAGGATTGCCTTGTAGATCAGTAATTTGTTGTCAATTGAAAGTTGAGATTTTCTGGTCAGTAGTCTGTACAATTGGAAGTATCGTCGGTTAAGCTCTTGTATTTTAAGTCTAGTATGTGGGTTCCACGTTAGTCTTCGGTCTAAGATAAAGCCAAGATACCGGACTGTGTCTGACAAAGGAAGCTGGATGGAATTAAAGTGGACTGATGGACAGGATCTGCGGCGGAGTGTGAAGGTAATGTGTTTGCATTTGGATTCGTTTACTTTGATGCTCCATTTATTACACCAGTGCTCAATCAGGGAGAGGTGCCTTTGAAGATTTAAAGATGCTATTTCTGGATCTGAGTTGGATGATAGGATGGCGGTGTCATCAGCAAATGTTGCCAGGAAGGTATTGGGATGGACAGGGATATCAGCGGTAAAAAGGATATAAAGGACGGGGCCCAAGACGCTACCTTAAGGAACACCGGCTTCAACTGGGTAGGAGTCGGAAAATTCTGAACCACAGCGAACCCGAAAGGTACGATCAGAGAGGTAGGAGCGGAGGATTATTTACAAGGACTGAGGTAGATAGGTTTTCAGCTTGGAAAGAAGCCCGGCGTGCCATACCAGGTCAAAAGATTAATAACTAGAAACAAAAATACTAGCATAATGAAATAACCATTCACGTAATTTCTCCCATCAAAATTCTTGATCCAGAAGGTCTTTAAATTTGTTATTATAGTTGAGAAGCATATGTTCTCTATCGTTCAAGTTCGGATCATCGATTTATCTGTTGCATTCGTGCAGAGCATAAAATCGTATACAATTACTACAAGAGAACATATACAATTAAAAGCATATTGAGGAAGATTTCATCCTTTGCTTTCTGCTATAACAAGCTCTTTGTACATTTACTAGCAGTATTATTAATCAGTTCGTACGGGACTTGTGCTGTTGATGATAATGTGAGAAGTCCATGCTTTTTAACCTTCATTAAAGTGGCCCCTTTCGAGGGGTACACCTAAGCCAGATCTGGGCTGCAACTATATTTTCTTTTTAGAATACAAAAAAAGTTTTTGTATTTTATTTTTATGATACTAAAATACAATACGGACGACACACAGTGACTCAGAAGCGGGAAAAAAAAACCTTAAAATGAAAGTATTCCAATTACACTTTTTGTTCTACATTTTATTTCCTAAGCATCCCTAGAACGTAGTCCAATAGCTATGTTCTGCAATTTTCCCCTATTTAGCCCTTAAAAACACAAATTAATAAGCAATTTTTAGTGATTTAAAAAAAAATCAACACACGACTTTCACTTACCACCTTCTTCTTAGCAGAAATAAGTATTTTCAGACAAAGGGAAAGTGAAAGTAAAAATTATTGACGCTATATTTATTTGCAATTCACTGTGGGTATTTTAGTTTGTTTAAATACCCTTATATATACAAATTTTAATTTTTATATCACTGTATTCTATACAATTAAGAATTAAATAATACCAACCATAGCATTTATGAAAACCGCATATGTATATGAACATAATATTGTTGGAGTCTGTAATATGTCTATAAACCATTTATCCCTTTCTCCCAGATTTCCCTACCCAATTATTCTTTCCTACGACACGACAGATCTGATCGCACAGGAGGTGGTGTCGGATTGCATGTTCATGACAGTCTTAAGGCCAAAATCCTCCTGCAGTCTTCTTCTCATGACTTTCCTCACAAGGAATACATGTTCGCTGAAATTTACTCTATTACCTCTCCTCTGTTATTTGCCATCGTTTACCGCCCTCCTCCTATTCCATTTGATAACTTCTTTGAATCCTTCCTTGTCAACCTGGTTTCCCATTACAACAATATTATTATCAGTGGCGATTTTAACGTAAATATGCTCTCACTATCTCCTGAAAAATATTTCCTAACTGACCTACTGTTTTACCTTACTCTTTATCTTGTTCCTTATTCTTCTACCCATCACAAGCAATTTTTAGACCCCTACATCTCTGACTCTCACATCAAAATCCTCTCCTCTTGCCAACACCCCGTTCCATTTCTTTCATCACACGACCTGATCCAAATTACATACGACCAACACGTGAAATCCTTTACTCCCAAAATGGTCTCATGTCGTCATTTAAACCTTAAATCTTTTCTGCCATGGGTCCTACGATGAATTACTTTCCACTATCATAAAATCCCACACTAATGATTATAGTCCTGATAATATTCTAGTGAAATTAATAGAATCCAGCCTTCCTGTCCTTATTCCTGTTCTTTACCATATCTTCAACTTTTAATTGCAAAACTTCATATTCCCCTCCTCCTGGAAAACTGCCCTAGCCCGACCTTTGAATAAAATTTCCAACTTACCTCACTGCACGGCTTTCTCTATTGTTTCTCTCCTTTCCAACCTTTCAAAGTCGTTAGAACGCCTTGTCCAAAATCAACTCTTCAACTTCATAGAGGAACGTTCCCTTATCAACCCATTCCAATCTGGCTATCGACCTGGATACTGAACGGAATCCGATCTCCTTAAAATAACCTATGACCTCTAAAATTCTATTGAACACCAAAATCATACAATCCTCATACTTCTAAATTTTTCCAAAGCGTTTGACACAGTTGACCATAACATCTTCCTCACTAAATTGCACAATCTTCCTCTACCCAGTACCCTGCGTTGGTTCAAATCCTTCCTTTTAAATCGGTCCCAGTATGTAGTTGTCCCAGGTTAACCTCCATCTAAAACCCTCTCCCTCTCCTGTGGTGTCCCTCGAAGTTCCTCTCTATCTCCTATTCTGTTTGCTATTTATATTAATGACCTTCCCCTCCTGATCCATCACTCCCAATACCATATCTATGCAGATGATTTCCAAATATATCTGTCCTTCCGCCCACCGACCTATTATCAGACACAGAAAAACTTCAAGAAGACTTGGATAGAATTTGTGACTGGGCGAGAGCTAACAAGTTGAAGTTGAATGCAGAAAAGACGAAGGCAATCTTAATAGGCTCTAATCA